ACCTGGCAGCATACCTTATCCTGCCAGATTACATCTCCTCCTCTCTCCACCAGCATCCATCACCAAGATGGCCACCGGCAGTTAAGCACACCCAACATCATTATGCGCGTGCACAATGATGTCCCACCAGGTGACACCCGGCGGCCGCACTGCCCTAGGGACGCCTCTGCTCAGACTACATCATATATATATATATATATATATATGTCATGTATTTAAAATTTTGCACACAGTTCCACTTAAACTTCACAACAGCATTATAGAGGAAGTGCTTTATTAAACATTTTATTGGCTTCTGTCGGGCCCTTACTTTTTTTTTCTCCAAAAAACAAAAATAGACAAATATAAAATCCATAACATTTTACATATCACAGTGAATTTAAATTAAACATATTGACTCCTCTGAAACATTATCTACAAATTCAGGTCACAAACAATTAGCGTGTTTTGGGGTCTATTGAAAACAAAATGTCACCTGTTACACTGGATACACTTTGGGTTGGATTTCCCAACGTAGGTACCAAGTCTACTGACCACAAAGGTTTTGGGGCTCTAGCAGTAGGGAAAGCTATGTGAGGGGGATAGGGGGATATCAGTATAGGGGTCTTTGCAGTGAATGTAACCAAGAAAACAATTGGGTTTCCACTTCTCTGTGTGGAGTCCACAATCATATTGTGAGGTTTGAAGGTAACCCTCTTGTAGCACGTTACACAGTATGATACCTTCTGGGGCAAACATTGTGTTATAGGGACGGGCTTCCAAAAAATGGTTTCCAGAGTTCCCATTGAAGGGGAGCAAAGAACCTGCCACTAGCAGTCAGTCAGTGCTCAATAATGTGTAGAGTGCAGGCTGAGGGATACCAGGAGCTCTGGAGGAGGAAAAATACCTAGGGCCCAGGAGTGTGTACATCCATCCAGTGGTGGAACAATAGCACCCGGGGTAGGAGGGCACCACATTAGGGAGGCCGTTAATAAAAACTAAACTGTTAAAGCTGAACTCTGGGATAATCATGTCCCCATACAAGAGTCATGTGTATTCTTCTGGAATCTTGGTGAGCTTTGTTTATTTCTTCCAGATCTGTGCAGTAATCCAGTGTGAGACTTGGAGCTTCCTGTAGTAAAGACCGGTCACTGCTGCTTTCTTTCCTTGTGCAGGGTGACTGGTCTTGTCTCCGCCCCCGAGGACCAGGATGTCTATTAATCTCAGGTCCCCAGAAGCATTTACTGTCTTAGCATAGATTTATTGCTCTCTGAACTTCTGCTACAGACTAAAATGAACCCTGTATGGCTAATGTGGTCATAAATCCCAGAATGTCTTCTCAGCTAATACCTTACAGTAGTGGTCCCCAACCCCCGGGCCGCGGCCCGGTACCGGCCTGTGGATCTCCCCCCCCCCCTCAGCGGGCCACGGTAAAATTATTAAACGTTGACCGGTCCGCGGCGATAAAAAGGTTGGGGAGCACTGCCTTACAGGGCTTATATATCATTATGATATCATTATGATATCGTTATATCATTATGGCCATTATTATTATTACACCTATGACCTATAACCCCAGCACTGCTCCCTTGCAGTGCACTGATAATGCTGACACCTCTCCTGCTCCCTTGTAGTGCACTGACAGCTGTCCTGTTCCCTTGTAGTGCACTGACAGCTCTCCTGCTCCCTTGCAGTGCACTGACTATGCTGACAGCTCTCCTGCTCCCTGCACTTGATTTAGACATGCTCTCTGTACAGATGAATTACAATATTTGTCACAATTGACACTGCCAGCTGCTACAGAGAGTGTTCACCCAATAGGGCCCCATCACAATGTTGCCCCATGATTAGTTGTTAAGGCCCTGCACCTATCCATTGTTAATGGGCTGAATGTATCACATTGTAACCACACGTGCTTCCTAACTGTACATTAACCTCAAGCTGCTAGAAAAATATAAACCTTTAAAACAGACATGTAAAAATTAAAATATAAAGCACGCTGAGGTGTAACGTATTCCAAGTATTCATTATGAAGGTCAGTCGTCCGAGTTGTCTATGGTGTTCGCATTGGGCGGCCATGACACTAGAAAATAGAGACAACGAGACTTGTTACTGTAGTACAAATTGACTTATGTTTTCAACAAAAGTGATTTAGACTGTAAATCACTGACAGTAAATTTCTATGAAGGACCCGGATTCCCAGATGGTCTATGTTATGAGCTTGTATATTATATTTATTATTATTACACAGGATTTACATAGCGCTTACAGTTTGTGCAGTGATTTACAATATAAGGAAGACATTACAATCACAATACAAATCAAGGCAAGATGGTAAGGAGGGTTTACACACTTAAATGTAATCATGTGTAACATTTCTAGGTATTTATTACCTCTCACAGAGATCAAAGTGCTCACCTGACAATACCTCCATTTGCTATTCTCTACAGCAGGACAGAGCCATCTTTATTCAGGCATCATCCATGGTTACCATCTACTTCCTGGACTGAGATGCCGGTGTTTTATCGAAAGCTCCAACTCCTCGCGATCTCAAACTACCGGACTTCCGGTTTCGTTAGAACTAAGGGATTTGGCCGAGAAGGCTCTTCTGCACGAGCGCCACCCGTGGCATTTCCCTATACACATACACCACAGCAATAAAGTATTAAAATGAAATAGGATCACACTAATCCAGCACGTTATTTATCTGAGTTTCCCCACTCAAGCGGCGGCCATATTGAGTGGGGCACCTCTGATTAATAACATGCTGGATAAGTGTGATCCTAGTTCATTTTATTACTTTATTGCTGTGTAGTATGTTTATAGGGAAATGCCACGGGTGGCACTCGTGCAGTACAGCCTTCCTAGCCAAACCTCTTAGTTCTAACGAAACCGGAAGTAAGCCAGTTGGACATCTCGATAAGTTGGAATTTTTCGATAGAACACCGGCTCAGAGATGACACAGACATGTAAATCCTGGTGCCGGTGGCTCTACTAATATTATTCTTTGTAGTAGTATTATTATTATTCAGAATTTGCGCATTGCTTTACAATATAAGGAAGACATTACAGTTGCAATACAAATCAAAACAAGATGGTAAGATCTGAGGTCAGGATCTCATGTTGGAGGAGAAAAACCTGGCTAACAATCGGCGTTCCAATTTATCCCAAAGGTGTTCAGTTGGTTTGAGGTCAGGTCAAGGTGCAGGACACTCAAATTCCTCCACATCAAACTCATCACGCCATGTCTTTATGGAGCTGGCTTTGTACACAGGGGCACAGTCATAATGGAACAGAAAAGGGCCTTCACCAAACTATTGCACCAATATTGGAAGAGCATGCTGGAACAGAAAATGACCTTCCCCAAACTGTTATTACCAGGAAGGAAGGGTAGAATTGTCTAATATATAGGTAGGCAACCTCAGCACTCCATCTGCAGTGACACTACAAATCCCATGAGGCACTGCAGGACACTGACAGCCAGAGGCATGACACCCAGAGTGCTGATGTTGCCTACCCTGTTCTAATGTCTTTGTATGCTGTACAATTGCCCTTCACTGGGAATTCAATCATTTGAAGATGTTTCTACACACTGTTGGCGATATAGTAGGTGTGATAGTCAGGTATCCACATACGTTTGTCCAGATAATATATATGCAGAACCTTCAATGAGGACATTATGCAAATATAGCCATTTTTTCTTATGAAGGGTTCATTTTAAGGTAGTTATAGGACACACCAATAGTATTTGTTATAATTGGAATTTTTGACCCTCTTGACCATCAACTACACAGAACTTTCAGGGTATAACCTGTATTAATAATATAATCGCAATCATGGTTCCTCCATAGTCCCCAAAGTCAGTGTAACACAATAGCGAGTAACTGCTGTGAGTCAAATACCATTGCACTGAAAAGCTCTACAAGAGAGCGAAGACTCCCCTGCTCCTTCCTTTTCCAAGCTAGTAAATGGACAGCTGCTGGCGACTGTGCTGCCCCTTGTGATCTTGTATGGACAGGAAGTTCAGGGAAGCCAAGCTGAGAGAGTTGGAGCTGTTTGGAAAGTGTTTGGGCAAAAAGTTACAGAAACTTTTGCTGGGTAATTTATATTTGTCTGAACTGGCTCAGAGATGACACAGACATGTAAATCCTGGTGCCTGTGGCTCTACTAATATTATTCTTTGTAGTAGTATTATTATTATTCAGAATTTGCCCATTGCTTTACAATATAAGGAAGACATTACAGTTGCAATACAAATCAAAACAAGATGGTAAGATCTGAGGTCAGGATCTCATGTTGGAGGAGAAAAACCTGGCTAACAATCGGCGTTCCAATTTATCCCAAAGGTGTTCAGTTGGGTTGAGGTCAGGTCAAGGTTCTGTGCAGGACACTCAAATTCCTCCACATCAAACTCATCACGCCATGTCTTTATGGAGCTGGCTTTGTACACAGGGGCACAGTCATAATGGAACAGAAAAGGGCCTTCACCAAACTGTTGCCCCAATATTGGAAGAGTTCAATTGTCTAAAAAGTCTTTGTATGCTGTAGCATGCTGAAACAGAAAATGACCTTCCCCAAACTGTTATTACCAGGAAGGAAGGGTAGAATTGTCTAATATATAGGTAGGCAACCTCAGCACTCCATCTGCAGTGACACTACAAATCCCATGAGGCACTGCAGGACACTGACAGCCAGAGGCATGACACCCAGAGTGCTGATGTTGCCTACCCTGTTCTAATGTCTTTGTATGCTGTACAATTGCCCTTCACTGGGAATTCAATCATTTGAAGATGTTTCTACACACTTTTGGCCATATAGTAGGTATGATAAAAAAAGATTGAAAGTTTAATAATGTTTTTAATCCCAAAAAATGTTTGATCAGTACAGCAAAATAATGGAAATCGTCAGCGCCGTTCACAGTGTCAAGACATAAAAGTGAAAATTGTGTCGGAGTTACTACTTCTGTACCAGTGTTCTGTAAGCATTGTATGATGTCTGTATTAGAAAATAAAAGATGTCACCTCTTCTGCGGTCAGGTAGATGCCTCCTCCGTCTTTAGTTAGATTCTGAAACACCTCTGAAAATTAAAAACAATTAGATTTTTAACTGATGTTAATGACCTTGTCTGTTCTTTCATCGGTCTTTCTTTGCACTGCAGCAGTTGTCTCGGTTACTTTCGTGGCACAGACCCCTGTACTAAACTGATACGGGCATTCAGAGGACGCTTTGTGGTCAGTAGACATGGTACCTACATGTGTCTATTGTGAAATCCAACCCAAAACGTAACCAATGTAACAGGTAATATTTTGTTTTAGGTAGAACCCCCCCCACCCAAAAAAAACAAAAAACTTTCATAGTATAGGGCAGTGGTTCTTAACCTGTGTAACCTCAGGACCCACATTTGCCCTTGGCCATTAAGTCGCAACCCAAGTCGCACTGCAATGGACTGCACGGCATTGCGGAACCGCGCATTCCAGTGTGGGCGATCGAATTGTGGGTGGGAGTTGCATTTGGGCAACGTAACATACCTTCCGCACCAGAACTCGTAGTAGGTGTATTTGCATGGTACAGTGTATTACTCTGGTCCAGGCACCTTTACAGGACACATGAGGGAGCAGTAAACAATGCACGTATGGATGGAGCTCCATCGTGGCCATACCCCCAGCCAAACCCATCTCAAGCTGACACTCGAAGCTGGGCAGCATATTCTGAATGGTGGTTGGAGGAAGAACTGACCGTGCTGCGCTAGGGGGAGGCTGAGGAGCCTCTCACCTAGAAAAGTGGAAGGCATGCAGAGACCCACTGAACATGGGGTCACGACCCACCAGTTGAGAACTAAGGGTATAGGGGATGATGTGACTATTCTTCTGATGAGATCCTGGAGGAATGCCATGTACACCAATCCCATGATGCTGCAGCACAGTGCAGGAACATGCGGTGTGGGCTACTCAACCTCTCAACCAACTCAACTCTATAGGTTGAACTCGATGGACATGTGTCTTTTTTCGACCTAACTATGTAACCTTCCCCAGGAAGGAGGATGACCTTACCCTCACCCAGGTGCCCCAGGGGACAATCCAGGGACTGTCCCTGTCCGATTCCCTAGGCAGTTCTGTCAGCGCTCTCTTCATCACCTAGTTGGTGTAACTTACTTGTCACAGTTTCCAGGCGGATCATGCAGGACACAAAGTCTGCAAAAGTCAACTTTTTGGAGTAGTTTCCATATCTCAAAAGCATGATGTTCATGACGGCATCAGTGACCGGGAGACCTTCACAAAGAGGTAAAAAGACATAAGTAAGGTTTGTGTCCAAAGAGAACCTGTCACATAAAAAGTATAATAGTGTGAATGTGCTGACAATGTGCATTGGGTTTTTGCATCCACTGCATTGTTTATGTGTGCTGTGGACCAGATAACCTTTTTTTTGGAAGATGAACATTGCGAGATCTCACTACCGGGGGCCACAGAAGCATGAAACACCCCAAGGGTTGACTCAGCCCTCCAGAACCAACCACAAAATGAAACATTAGTTTTGGATGGCGTTTGCCTTTAATGGCCAAATGTCTTCCCACCAGCCCTGTCCTGAACTTTCTCTACATCCTGAATTTCATTCTATTTCATATCATTAAAACCCTGGTACAATGTAGAGGGACAATCCATCAAATCGGGCGGTCGTTTTTCTTTGTATAAGTGTAAGTAATACGGTTTGTCAGCTCCTTGGATGTGATGATCAATCCTTATTTTCCAGCTAAGAGATCTGAGAATATGATGATATACTGACTGGATGGAAGTGCGGAGGCTGCAAATTCACCGCTAGTCTCATTCACATTAACCCCTTGCTGCCATTTAAGTGGCCGTGTCATGCTCACAGATGGAGGAGTGCTTAACAATAACGCCATATAAGTTACAAATATGATAGTAGGTAAAGTATTGGGTTTTATTGGGGATATTACCGCTCTCTGGATTGCATACTATAAAGTATATAATGTGAAAATTCAGCAAAGCAACCCCTTTGGAATAGGCACAGCAGGTGTACAGACCCAGGAACTCAGCATACGGATGGTGGGAACCCCTCATAATGGGCACAGCAGGAGTGCAGACCCACAAACTCAGCATACGGATGGTGGGAACCCCTCATAATGGGTACAGTAGGTGTGCAGACCCAGGAACTCAGCATACGGATGGTGGGAACCCCTCATGATGGGTACAGTAGGTGTGCAGACCCAGGAACTCAGCATACGGATGGTGGGAACCCCTCATAATGGGTACAGTAGGTGTGCAGACCCGGGAACTCAGCACCGGGATGGAAGGAGCCCCTCATGACGGGCACAGCAGGTTGCATCACTATGGTCGAAAATGATTGTCGATTTGAATTAACTTTTAGAAAATCGAACAAACATTCCAAAACATTTTTTTATGGTGTATGGCCAGTTTTATATCTGCTTCCACTGTTCCCTGAGCACCCTTAGCTTCACTGCCAGTGCAACCAGGTTCCCCTTTCTATCTAAAGCTTAAAAGTGAGTGGGGTTCCCCCCAAAATCCATACCAGACCCTTCTGGTAGGAATTTTAAGGGGGAACCCCAGCCCCAAAAAATGGGCGGGAAAAACGTGGGGTCCCTCCTAACAGTCCTACCAGACCCTTGATCCGAGCACTGGCCCGGCAGCGCAGGAAAGGGGGGGGAGCCCCCCCCTCCCTGCGCCTTACCTGGCCACGTGCCCTCGGCATTGGGAGGGTGTCTCCATGCCGATGGGGACAAGGGCCTCTTCTCCACAACCCTGACCCGGTGGTTGTGGGGGTCTGCGGGCAAGGGGACTTATTTGCATTGGGGTACCCCTACCCATTCACTAAAGGGTTAAATCAAATAGTTAGTAAAAAGCCCAGACTTTTGATAAAATCCTTTAATTGAAAAAAAACCAGTAAATTTTTGACTATTCCAGCGTCAATCAGGACCCCCGCCGACCCGCCGCAATAAAAATACTATTCATGAGTTTCCGAATGCTATTCGGGTCTGTGAGCCGAGGTGTCATAATGCTTTTCATATCACACCTTGGCTCACAGACCTGAATAGCATTCAGAAACTCATGAGTAGTATTCGGGAGTTCCCGAATGCTATGTAGCATTTGACAGCTGAGAATGTCAAATGAGCGGAGCGAGCCGTGACGATTTTGGGGGGAACCCCACGCACTTTTTTTTTTTTTAACTTGGGGAGGGTCCCTCCTAACATTCCTACCAGACCTAGAGGGTCTGGTATGAATTGGGGGGGGGAACCTCACGCTTTTTTTTTTTCATCTTCTGCAGACTGTAAAAAAAAAAAAAAATTCTAATGTCACTTTGCTGCTAACTAAATTTCGTCCAATAAACAAAATTTCGACCGGACTACCGCTAACGAATTTCGTCCGAATCCGAATCCCGAAACAAATTCAATTCCGGACCCGAATCCGAAAGACGAAACTAAACTAAACACATTTTTTGCTGGTGCACATGTCTACTGAAGCTTGGCCCAGTGGGAGATTACCCCATCCGCACAGTTTAGCATAGATGGAGGAATCTGTTGCACTTTTTCCATCTGACCACAGAAAATCTGCAGATACTCTATAGGTGTATGACCAGCTTTAGTTTAATGGGTAGACATTTTAAAGGAAGAGGCTCAGGCTGTTTTTGGTCCCATCAATATTACTCTTTAATACTGTATACACTTTTCAAAGCCTGTTTCAAAGTTGACTTTAATAGGACTTCTGGTTCAGAATTTCTGAGGTTTCATATTTTTTTTTTTTTAATATTCAACTGAGCCACCTCTGATCTAAATTTTCAGATGTTCGGGTATCTCTACATTCTATAAGCACAGGGAACAAACATTAAAAAAAGAGAGAATCGTACCAAGGTCTTGAACAGATCGATTAACCCCATATCCATCGATATATCCAGTTTGGTTCACGTCAATGGACCTG